AGCATGGAAGGAACGGGAAAAATTTAAAACACGAAAATTACATTCCGACCTGTGGTTTACGGAGCCACAAAAATTTTGATTGTTATTTAAATGCAAGCTGTAGGTCGACAGGTACGGGCATTCCGGCTTCGGTTGCCTACATTAAATCAAAATAATAACAAAATAAACACGCACGTCGTACATTTGCAATTTTATTACGTCGATAGTGCGCTACATATTTATAGCTTCACCTAATTAACGCCCGATTTTCGTCGCTAACTGCAAACTGATAATCTAAATTTATTTGTATACGCGCCGCTTCTACACATACCCTGGCGAAAATAACGCTACAGCGAATTTAAAACACTTTGTCACCGAAAAACTGTGAAAACTTTTTTGCAAATAAACGAAAATGCTACATCGCATACGTACATCTCGCTCGCTGCACGAGCTCTTCGAAAAATTGAAATTATCGACACCTTGTCGTCCAACTTTTAAAATTATGTAAAAGAAATTTGTTGTATAATTCAATTTCCAGAAGTTATTTTCGGTTTCATTTTTTCGAAAACTCGCCAGTACGAAATATGGCAAATTCGAAAATGTTTAATGCGAGCCTAAACACGTTATATTTTTCGAACCAGCACGCCAAAATCTACATCCTGGAATTTTTTCTGGATTTTTAGGCAACTTTTTCAAAATCACAGTTTCTCAAAAGCTTTATGAAATTTTAGAGCTTGTTTGACTAGCTTTGAAAATTACTCGAGGACCTTTTGTACATTTCAAGCTCCAGAAGTTATTTCCGTCTTAATTTCTATTATTTAAAATTCGTTCCATTTTTCCAAAATTGCCAATACAAAATGTGACAATTTTTCGATCATAAATACACTATTTTTTTCGACTCAGCACGTCAAGATCTACTACCTGGATTTTTTTGGAATTTTAGGCAACTTTTTCAAAACCTCAGTTCTTCGATACTCCTTTTTCGAAACGATTTTTTTTTAGATTTCGAGCTTCAGAAATTATTTCGGCCTTCATGACTTCAAAAATGTTTCTAAATTGAAAATAAAATTCGAAAAATCGATAATTCGATGAAGCAAAAGTGCAAAAAAAAAAATTCCGAAAAATCAAAATTCGAACATCCAGATTTCGAGAATCGAAAAATCCAAGAATCGAAATGCACATCATCGAAATACCAAAAATCGAAACGAAAAATGAAGAAAATGAAAAATCGAGAGATTAAAATTAAAACATTGATAATTCCTATATCGGAAAATCGAAATTTAAAAAATTTTTCCATTTTTCAATCTTTGACAATTTTTCGTTTATTAAATTTTCAATAATTTTTCGATTTGCAATTTTTCAATTTTTCGTTTTTTCTTTTCCCTTATCTTTTCAATGTTTCTTTCGGTTTTACAATCTTCGATTTTTGAGTTCCTCGATTTTCCAACTTTAAAATATTTCAGTTTTGCAATGTTTGGATTTCGCAATTATCCGACTTTTTTATATTTCTTTAATTCCCAATATTTAGATTTTACAATACATTTCGTTCTTTTAGATTTTGTACTTTTTCTACCATTTATCACTCTCTCTCTCTCTCTCATTCTCCCATTTATCACTCTCTCTCATGCTCCCATTTATCATTTTCCTTCATTTTCCCATTTATCTCTCTCTCTCACATCCCATTTATCATTCTCTCTTTCATTCTCCCATTTATCGCTCTCCCATTCTCTCATTTATCACTCTCTCATTCTCCCATTTATCATTCTCTCTTTCATTTTCCCATTTATCACCCTCTCATTCATTCTCCCATTTATCACTCTCTCGCATTCTGCCATTTATCACTCTCTATTATTCTCTCATTGATTACTCTCTCTCATGCTCCCATTTATCATTCTCTCTTTCATTCTTCCATTCATCGCTCTCTCATTCTCTCATTTATCACTCTCTCATTTATCACTCTCTCATTTATCACTCTCTCTTTCATTTTCCCATTTATCATTTTCCTTCATTCTCCCATTTATCTCTCTCACATTACCCTATTTATCATTTTCTCTTTCATTTTCCCATTCATCGCTCTCTTATTCTCTCATTTATTAATCTCTCTCATTCTCCCATTTATCACTCTCTCTTTCATTTTCCCATTTATCACCCTCTCTTTCATTCTCCCATTTATCACTCTCTCTCATTCTCCCATTTATCACTCTCTCTTTCATTTTCCCATTTATCACCCTCTCTTTCATTCTCCAATTTATCACTCTCTCATTCTCTCATTCTCCCATTTATCACTTTCTCTTTCATTCTACCTTTTCCACCCTCTCACTCATTCTCCCATTTATCACTCTCTCTCTCATTCTCTCATTTATCGCTCTCTCTCTTTCTCCCATTTATCCCGTTCTCCGAATTCTTTCCCCTAGTTCTATTTCTCCGAATTCCCTTCCTGGCGTTCTGTTCTCCGGGTTCCTCTCCACAGGTTATGTTTCTCCGAATTTCTCTCTTCCTAAGTTCTCTGTGTCTCAGTATTATTTCTCCCTTCAAATTCTCTGAAGTTCCTTTCTCCATATTCTCTGGTTCTCTGAATTCTCTTTCTCCCTAGGTACTATGTTTCTCTGAATTCTCTCTCTCCTCAGATTATCTCCATTTCTTTGAATTATTTTTTTCTCTTTTTTCATTTTTATACTTTTTCATTTTTTCATTTTTGATTTTTGAGTTTTACAATTTTGCAATTTTTCAATTTTTTGATTTGAAAGCCAAAAGTCGAAAATTGCAAATGGAAGAACTGAAGAAGCGAAGAATTGAAACATACTGAAAAAGCAAAATCGAGAACCTTAAAAATGAAAAAAATTAATGAATGTGGAAAGAAAAAAAAAATAATCGAATCAAAAAATTGTAAAATGGAAAAGTTATAGAATCGTCAACATTGTAAAGTCGAAAAACTTTGTAACACTGAAATGTCGAAAAACTGAAAAATTAAACCTCAAGAAATTGAAAAATTAATAATGGAAATATTCTAAAATCGTAAAATTAAAAAAGTGAAAGATTTTAAAAATCATAATTCTTATTAGCTATTTAAAATGAATATCGGAAAAATTACAAATCAAAAAATTGACGAAACAATAAAATGAAAAATCGAGAAGCAAAATATAAAAGGGAAAACACGAAAAATCAAAAGGTTTAAAATTGAAAACCGAAAAATTCAAATAAAAAAGCTAAAATATCTAAAATTTAAATCGTCCAGAAGTTGGAAAATTGAAAAACTGAAAAATTTTAAAATGAAAACTCAAAGAATTGCATATCGTAAAATTGAAGAAACATAAAAAAGAAAAACTGAAAATCAAAAATGGAAAAAACGAAAAGTAGAATGATTAAAAATTTGACTATCGAAAATCGAAAACTCGAGAAATCAAAAATTCGAAAAACCAAAGATTGGAATAATTGAAAAATTAAAAGTAAAAAAATTGAAGTCTAAAGGCAGAAGAATGGAAAAATTGAAAAATCGAAAAATCAAAAAATCAAAAATCCAAGATTAGAAAATTCGGACAATCGAAAATTGAAAGAATTGATTATTTGAAGAATCGAAAAAATGAAAAATTGCAACATCGAGAAATCGAAGAGAAAACAAATTAAAAATTATAGTATCAAAAAATCCAAAAATTAATGAATCAAATGTTTGAAAAAACGAAAAAATCGAAAAATCAAAAATTTGAAAATATAAATTTCGAAAAAACGAAAGCCGAAAAATCGGAAATTCTAAAATCGAAAAATCTGAAAGTTGAAAAACGGGGAAATTGAGAAATAGGGAAAATGAAATAAAAAACAATGAATATTCACCTATAGAAAAATTGAAAATTGAAAAAAAAATTCGAAAAATTGAAAATTTTAAAAATCGAAAACTTAAAGATTTAAACATGGAGAAATCGATGAAAAAACAAATAAAAATTAGGGAATCGAAAAATCGAAAATTCGATTAGGAAATGTGCAAAAAAACAAAATTCCGACAAATCAAAAATTCGAAAATCGAAAATCTAAAAGTCCAAAAATGGAGAAATTGAAAAATAGAGAAATTAAAATTAAAAAAAAAATAAATTCGTATATAGCAAAATAGAAAATTTTTCAATTTTTGCATTTTTCGTTTCCCCAATTTTTAAAATTCTTGATTTTTGTTTTTCATTTTCCCGATTTTTCTTTTCTTTTATTTTTTCAATATTTCGTTCGGTTTTACAATTGTTCGTTTATTAAATTTTTAAAACTTCCAATCTTCGATTTTTCAGTTCCTCGATTTTCCAACTTTAAAATGTTTAAATTTTGCAATTTTGGGATTTCTCAATTATACGGTTTTCCTATTTTTTTATTTTCAATATTTCGATTTTACAATACATTTCGTTGAAAAATATAAAAAGCGAATAGTCGAAAATTGCAAATCGAAGAACTGAAGAAACGAAAAATGGAAAAATCGAATAAGTAAAAATGAAAATGTGGAAAGAAGAATAAACGAATCGAATCGAAAAATTGGAAAACCCAAAAATTGTAAAATGGAAAATTTATAGAATCGTCAACATTGTAAAGTCGAAAAACTGTAACACTGAAATATCGAAAAGTGAAATCTCGAAAAATTGAAAAATTAAAAATCGAAATGTTTATTAAACATTTAAAATGAAAATCGGAAAAATTACAAATCAAAAATTGAGGAAACGATAAAATGAAAAATCAAGAAGAAAAATATAAAATTGAAAACACGAAAAATCAAATTGAAAAATCGAATAGTTGAAAAAATATATTAAAAAAAAAAAAATCCGAAATGAAAAATTGTAAATCGAAAAATTACAAAATCTAAAAACTGGCACATCCAAAAACTGAAAAATTTAAAAATGAAAACTTGAGTAGTTTGCAAATCATAAAAATTGAAGAAAAAAATAAAAACCTAAACGAAAAATTGCAAACATCCAAAAGTGAAAACTCAAAAAAACTCCAAAATAAAATAAAGATAATAATTTATTCTCAATTAAATACACAAACAAAAATCACTATTGTCCTAGAACTGCAGCAATAGCTTTCGCATGCCGGAGTTTAGCAGCAGCGACCTCGGAAGTATCCACAGGATAATTAACCGACCGAGCCTCATACCTCTCAATCGGCAGGGGCGTAGTAGCTGGTACTCTCGCACGATAATTGTTCAACAATGCAATCCTGTCCATCACAGCTCTAGCATGAGCTTGCCTCACAGCCTCCAGCCCCTCGAGATCAGTTGGCATCACATACTGAGGTGAAGCTTGAGGCCGCCCAAATACAAGATGCCCATTAGAATACTGCGAACGAACATCTAGAGACCTCCCTCTCAAAGAATCGTCCTCATATTCCCCATTCCCTTCCTTCTCTGGAGGCAGTTCCGGCAAGATGGCACGAACCTTGGAGTAGACTTCTTCGTGGTACTTCCTCGCGGCGGCCACTTCGGGGGTCTCAGGCACCTGTTGACCCAGCTTGTGGTCGGCGAAAGGACCCTTCCAAGGAATCCGCGTGCCTGCGTCTTGAGGATTCCCGACTGGGATGTTATCCTGGAAATACTCGTGGTGGAGTTGGGGTTCGTCCACTGAAAGATATTCTTCTGAAAGCGACTCCGGCACCAGTGATCGTATTTGCATGAAAGCCAAAGCGTGTTGTCGTTTTGCGGCGGCAACTTCAGGAGTGTCCTGCACAAGTTGACCAAGCCTGTGGTCGGCTAGAGGTCCGGCCCAGTTTTCAGCCGCTGAAACGGCGACCGCCGCACAGAGAACAATCTGAAATTGTCAAAGTTGGAGGAATCTTATGTGAAAAGTTGCTCAACTTACGAATTGGCATGTGTTCATGATGGATGTCTGTCTCAGTGTGGAATTAGTCCACGATTTTTTGTATTTATAGTAGTTGTAGTCAAAGGTCACCGAAACTTTCGTTTCGTTTCATTAGTGATTAGCGCAATAATAACACAACGATTGTGCGGAATTCACCATTTATTTTCGACAGTACAGCCCAGCACTAAATTATTTTAAGCCGATAAACAGTTCATGCATTACGCAAATTGTGCCCGTGGTGGATGCGTTTTCGACAGGCCGGGACATGTTTACGTTTTATTACAGCTAATCAATATCCTACGACAATAACAGTAAAACTAGTCTAGTTTGATTTGTAGGATGTCTTCTCAACCACGTGAAGAGGCAAGTTTGTTGCACGTACTCTAAACCCCTTTGAGTCGGCTATATATTCCACATGCTGGATTATCCCGTTTGGATCCAAGTAATCATAAAAGCCTCTGGTAACACCATCTGGATCTCGACTTTCTTGCCTAACTACATTTCCAGTGTTGTAACCGAAACGTTGTTGATTTGTTTCATCTTGTTTAGTTGCGGAAACTGCAATCAAAAGAACGAGGATTTTCTGAAAGAGGTTGAGAAGAGTGCTCTAATGGAAACTCACCCACATCGTGCACCGCTTTAAGGAGAAATTTCATTCACTTTGAAATTTTAACTATTTCATTTATATAGTAGCAGCGTCAAGGTGAATTTTCACCGCAAATATTCACTAAATGCGAGGCGAGGAGCAGGCGAACGAGTCAAAAATAAGCAAGACGACGCGCTTTTTCGATCACGGTATTGGAAATTCTGGGAATTTTGACGCAGTAATGGTGCAGAGTTCCTAATTTCTGTGTTATTACGGTTTCGTGGTGGAATGGTAAACCACTTTCTAGTTTTTTCCCGAAAGATGAAAAAAATGCAAATAAGCAATGGTCTTGTTTTGTTTGAATTTATAAAACTTCCGTGAAAGAAAGAAAAACCAATTTTAAATTTTTCAGTTTTAGATTTTTTCGTCTTGAATGGTTCAATTTTTCATTTCTTCAACTCTCTGTTTTTGCAATTTTTCGATTTCTCACTGTTTCGATTTGTAGTTTTCGAGTTGTCAGTTATAAATTTTTCATTTTCGTGATTTTTAACTTTTCTGTTTTTGAAGGAAAAAGTGAGAAATCAATGAATTGAAGAAACGAAAAATTGAAAAATCGAATAATTGAAAAATTCAAAATTTGAAATCTAAGTAAGTAAGTAAGTAAGTAAGTAAGTAAGTAAGTAAGTATTTATTAATGACCATTAGGGTACATAAGTCAAGTCAGATGAAGTTACAATATAAAGAGTTTAAAATTATACATTTTACAAGATAATTCAAATCGACTGGTAAAAACTACACAAGACATCGCTACAATTTAAAAATTCATCGAGAGAGTAAAATGCGTTTTTTAATAAAAAATTTCTTATAGTACGGCTAAATTGCGAAAAAGGTAAGTTAGCAATACGTTTCGGTAATTTATTGAATAATTTGGGCCCATAATAATTGATGGCATTTCTACTTCTACCTACACGATAGAATTCGGTGCGAATGCTATGGGTAGATCTCGTGATTAATGACATATTTGTGGGATTATTATAAGTGGTGAGATTAGACTTCACATATAATAAAGCATATAAAATATAAAGACAGGGCACGGTGAGAATACTTTTTTTTTTAAAATAATTTTTAACACAAGCTCTGTAAGATAGACCTCCAATAATTCGAACTACTCGGCGCTGCAATTTAAAAACGGTTTTTAAATGACTGCTGTGGCCCCAGGTTATAATGGCATAGCTAAAAATACTTTGAAATAAAGAGTAGTATATCATCATAAGGATCTGCTCACTAACCTCATATTGCAAATTCCTAATAAGAAAAGTTGATTTGGACAATTTTTTACAGATATCAATGACGTGATTATCCCAGCATAATTTCAGCATAATTTCGGGTCCAGTGTCACACCAAGAAATTTGACACACCTCGGATTGTCAATCTCAGAAATGTAACGAAGGGAAAACACCATTTTTTGAGTTTTCAGTACATTAAGCGTTAATCTGTTTGAAGTAAACCATTCACTAGCAGCATTAATATCTTGTTCCATCCTGTCCAAGAGAGACGGGATGTCTGAGTCCACACTATAGCAAGTAGTGTCATCCGCAAAAAGTATGATTTTATTGTCTAGATGTTTAGCCAAGTCGTTAATGTATAACAAAAAGAGCAACGGACCTAAAATCGAGCCTTGTGGCACTCCTATGTTAACTATTGTCATTTCGGAGTATACATTATTAAACAGAACAACCTGCTGGCGATTGTGGAGAAAACTAAAAATAAGCTGTAAGGCTCCATTTGACAATCCGTACAACTCAAGCTTGTTTATTAGAATGTTGTGATTAATACTATCGAAAGCTTTTGATAGATCACAAAATGTGCATCCTAAGAATTGTTTTGTTTCGAAACAGGTAATGACCTCATCAACAAGCCTATTAATAGCCATGGTTGTACTTTTGCCATGTTGGAAACCAAATTGGCGTTGGTTCAATATATTTTGTTTATTAACGTATTCCTCAAGTTGTTTAAGCATAATCTTTTCTAAAATTTTCCCAAAAATAGGCGTTATAGAGATTGGTCTATATTTATCAACATCATCTACGTTGCCCTTTTTGTGGATAGGGATTACTTTGGTCACCTTGAGACAGGATGGGAAAAGATTTTCATTAATACACCGATTGATCAATCTTGTAAGTGGAACTAGAATGAGATTCTTAATATTCCTAACAATGGTGATACTTATGTTGTAGTAGTCCTTACTTTTCTTTTTTTTGATGGAATCAATTGTATCTCTTACTTCATTAAATGTTATCTCTCTGAAATTGAAAACAGAGTTCACCGGAGTCAAATTTTTGTGCATTAGCTGAATTGGATCCGTATTTGATAATTTTAATTTATTCTCCAAATTATGTGGGATATCACCAAAAAATGTAGAGAAGTCCTCCGCAGTCAGTTTTTCTGAATAATTATTGCTACTAGCTAATCGTTTGCTATTAATTAATTTCCAGCTGTCCTTTGCTACATTAGTAGAATTTTTAATTAGGTTGTCATTAAAGGTTTTTTTTCTTTTCTTAACTTCGGTTCTAAACAATTCTCTATATTTTTGAAAATAGGTCACAAAAGTTGGGTCATTAGGATTTTGATTGTGTAATTCGTGTAACAGGTCTACATTTTGTTTCATTTTATGTAATTTCTCATCATACCAGTAAATATCATCCTTTTTAACATTTTTTATTCTTTTTACTTTTATAGGAAAGGCCATGTTTACTTTATCAGAAATTAATTTGGTGAATAAGTTAAATTTGGTATTTGTATCAAGTCCAGCATCATTGATAAAATCAAAATTGCAATCACTAATAATATTAAAAAAATTAAAGAATCCTACTTCCGTAAAAGGTTGATATGATACAACTTTCGAGCAGTCTTTTGACTTATGACGATTATGTGGAATTTCTACAGTAGCAGCACGATGGTCAGATAAATGAGTCTCCATGACCTGGTGCCTACAATCATGTGCGATATTTGTAAGTATATTATCAATACACGAATTTGCTCGCGTGTTCTCAAAGATTAGAGGTCTCAAATTATAAGATTTTAAAAAGTTAAGGAACTCTAGAGTCTGTTTGGTTTTGCGGTCAAAATGTATGTTAAAGTCTCCATTAATAATAACATCTGAATCGATTATATTGATAAAATTAAATAAATTAGTCAAATTAGAGTATAAAACTTCCAGATTGCCTTTTGGTGCTCTGTATACAGTTATTATGATTAGTTTGGGTTTATTAACTTTAATGGCTGCAAGCTCAATGTCAATTACATTACAAAACTTTGAAACATCAATAACTTGGTATTTAATTTTATCGTTTACTAGTATCACAACACCGCCATAACCTTTATCTTTCCTGGTATAGGCAGAGGCTATCTTAAAACTACCCAATTTTAATAAATCCAACTCATAGTTTGTTAACCAATGTTCTGTAAAACATAAAACATCATAAGATTCTTCAATGTTATGTAAAACTACCTCTACTTCATCAACTTTTTTCCTAATCGATTGTACATTTAAATGGAAAATTGAAAAATAGCTATCTTTAACTACCGCTTTACTCGTTAATTTTTTTAAAATGAAAAAACTTGCGAACACATGCTCCTACAGGCCAGATGTTGGGATCCAGGGCTTTTCCGAAATTGTCAGCATATACAGACAGCTTGAAAGATGAATATTCGCCTTTGTGTTTAGCTTCCAGTTCCTCGCATTTTGCTTCGGGAAAATGAGATTTAACAAACGTTAGTACGTCTTCCTTTTTGGTATCTGGGTGTAACCTATAAACATGCAGATCCATTAGTTTTGGTATAGCTTTCAAACTGCAACCTGCAGCAGCGAAACAACCAACTACGGCTTTACGTTTTTTCTTCTCAACTAGATTCCATTCATCATTATGGCGTTTTGGAAGAGCCTTTGGCTGTACTTTCATTGTGGGCTGTATAGACTTTATGTTGGGTGATGACATCACAGGACTTTTTGATGACATTGCAGGACTTTTAGATGACATCGCAGGACTTTTTGATGACATCGCAGGACTTCTTAAACCTTTGACAGAAACTTTGACAGAACTTCCACCATTTTCCTTGTTTACCTTTTGCTTATCTTGCTTAGCAGCGACTGGTGTGATAGAGGACTGGGAGAGTTTTTGCCGTTCTTTTTCCAGTTGTTCTAGAAGGCAAATTTTTTCTTGTAGGAGATCGATTTTAGACCGTAGTTCTTCAATGATCACATCTTTCTGCTGCATGACATACTTAAACATGGTCGCATCAACTGGTTCAGTGATGTTTGATAAATCGATGATATCATTTGGCTCAGGAGTAGTGTCTTCGGTAAACGGAGAACAGGGTCGATTACAGCACAATATAACATCTTCAGAATTGAACTTCCCTTTACTGAGCAACTTTC